AATTTGTAACATTTTGATTTTTTACTTCTAAATATCTAAATTATTAATTGAGAGCCTGAAGGCCAAGGTGGCAAAGGACCTAGGGCCATGTAGATGAAAAAAATTCAAGTTGTGCGAGCGCACACCCTGTTCCCTCCACTAAACGGTGCCCGCCTGAATTTATTATATTAAATTCGCTAGTTAATACCTATTTATAATTATACTGAGTCATCTAAAATTAAGTGAAGTAAAATTAAAATATTTACGCACTCATCCACCCAGAACTGAGTAAGTTTTTTACCTCTAATAACTAATAACTTTAGTTATTTATTTAATTATTTAGTATAGGTACTCGTATTATATATAATGTAAAACGAAAAACACATATACAAATAAAATCACTCACCCACTTTATTATATAAAGCAATCGCTTCAATTCGTACATAGATTCGGTGCCACTGCATACAGCAAAGTATATTTTCAAATAATTTGAAAGTAGTGTAATGATAGTCACTAAGTTATACAAAAAGAGTGGCATCATCATAATATTTTTTACATACACCATACTATTTTAAATACCATCACACAGCTGTTTATATTATGATTATGGACATCTGTGGACTGTGGTCAGACATTGTTATGTCCTTATCTTCATATAAAAGAATTATCCCTACCGGCTACCAGCTAAAACGAGACCCAATAACGACCATCGACGACTTGGACTCAATGTCACCCTCCCTGGCACCCTTTGGTTGTGGTCATACGTTAAGTGTTAAATGTGTAAGTTATCTAATAATATTTGTGTGTCTTAAATAATAAAAGTGTTATTCAATATTAATATTACATCTCTTGTGTTTTTAATTAACATTAAACCTGTACATTATTCCTGTGTTCACTGAATACCTGACAACCAAATAAGGGTAAGTTAATTTGATATTATATAATAATATTGCTATATGTATAATCGTATATATACATCTATACATAGAAGAGGGTAGTAATCAGGATCGCTTGCACAACATAATATTATATGAAAGGTAGACACAAATATGCTGCGCAAGCGTGTCTATTACGCTTTACTACAGTAGCAATTATAAACCCAATTCTTAAAATGTGAATAATTATACGCCTTATAAACCTTATATCTGTGATTTTTGTAATTTTGTGTAAATATTAGAAAAAAATATTTAAATTAAGATAAATTTCATTTATAGACGAAAAAAGACTTTTAACTTAATATCAATATGTATTGAGACTGGATATCGACATTAAGGATGTCCTATTAAGTACAATTTTATTTGTTAATAAGAAATTAAATAACAATAAAAAGGCAAAAGCGGTGTTCTTGGACTTAGCCAGGGCTTTTGATACTATGAATCACTTCATATTTTTTTTTTTATTTAAAAAGTATAGCTGAACTTAAATTAAAAATTACCTATTAAATAGGAAAGAAATATTTAGAATTGATGATGTAATAGGTCAGGAAAGTATCGTTGAATTTAGTATAGAATCACTAGAATCCTACCAAGAAATGTTCTGGGCTTGGTTTTATTTATAATAAATGTATATCTACTAGGCGAGTAATCTAAATGTTTATGGGTTAGTTGTTTAATATGTTGATGATTTCTGCTTATTTCCCACCTTCAAGTATTACATACTACATAGGGTTCGTCACAAACCAACTCTTGGTGTTAAACTGCGAAAATAGCTTATCAATGTCTATTTGCAGACAGGAATGTGAAATTCAATAAAAAATATATAATATTTATGTCATGACTTTATCTAATAATTAAAATTTTTCAAATTTTAATCCAATAATAATACATAAATGCTTGGATGGTAACAACTATAATTATTTATAAATAAATGTGTAATTATCAAAAAGTAATAATAAGGACTCGATAATATTTAGATATCATATAAATAATAATTATATTATGATAGAAATTGGGAAAATACTTTAAAAATAACTTTTGGCTTGTGACGATCGTGTTTCGAGATAAGCATAATAACACTACTGTCATGTAATCAGTAGTTAATTCACTAAAAAAAAAAAATAAGTAGTCATCACTTATTAATCTGTATCCGTTCCATATTCAGTGTCTGTATTGTATGGTTGTAATTTAATTTAGTCTTATTTAGTTTTATTTAATTTAATTGCTTGATATAATTTGTCTAGTTAAATATTTTTTAAATGCCGAAGATACCATCATAAAATTAAAAAAATTAACTACTCAGTAGATACTACCTTTAATTAAAAACGATTAACATTTTAAAACTGATAGCAAAACTCATTTTGTCAAATATATATGTAACGAACATATTCCGTGCAATAAAACGTTACAGAAATCGCAACAAGTTCACACATCTTTACACCAAAAACTTTAAAACGTGAGTTGAATAATTTAAAACAATTTTTTTTTTTTAGAATTTAGGTACTTCTAAAAAAAAATGTAAATTAATTTTTTAAAGATTTATGTATCAGTTTTATTACTGTTAAATGCTAATATACCATGGCTTAAATTGCAAATTTCACAATTTCATACATTTTTAGAAAAATATAGATATTAATAAATGAAAATGTTCTTATTATGGAAAAATTATCTTTCACATTATTATAATAAAACATTATCCGATATAAGAAATTAAATAAGTAATAATAATACCTGGTTCGTTATCGATGAAACAACTGATTTAAATGACCGTTATGTGGCGAATTTATTTATCGGGATATTTAGGTTGAATCATCTAAGATCAAATTTATTCTTTCTTTTTAACAAAATAACATGTAACGTTTTAGAAAAAAAACAATCATTATACTGTAACTCGATTTGTTATTGATGAGTTAAAATAACTGTAGTAACTGATGAAAATAATGAAAAGATGTTGTTCAATGTTCATCATAGGTGAAACTACGGGTTAGGCCAGTCAGGCGGCCATGTTTTATTAAATTCAACAAATCAAAATTATTTTTAGGTATTTTTATTTCTATTTAATTTACTTATCTATATTTATTTCTATATGATGTACTATGTTCGATTGTGAAGGTATTTGTACAATTTGTTTTTCTTAAATATACGCATATTTAAATTTAAATAACAAGAAGAGCAGTCAACGTCTACAGTTCGTATTTTCGTTGCGGTAATACGGTATAGTCGTTTGTTCGAATATTATGTGCACGAATGAATATGTACAAATGAAAAGTTTTCGAATGTTATCTGTTAGAAAGTTTAAATGTTCGAATATTATTTTCGATTATTCAAACATTTTTATTGTGGAATCGACAAAGCTTAATTTTTCTAAACTGACTTATGAAGCGATTGGTTTATTTAATAGATAAGACGTATACTAGATGCCAAATTCGAATTATATGTATAATTATATACTGTTATATTATTAATAATAATTTATTATTAGATTATTCTACTTCATGATACTATTTATTATGATACATATTATAATACACTACAAAATCGGTATACAAATTAATTCTAAAATATCATAATCAAAATTATACAATTAAGTATGAATTGTTGTGTTTATTTGAAAGAAAATATATTAAAAAGATAAATTATAAGCAATTTCCCTTAAAAAATCTAAAATTAGCATTGTTTTACCAGCTTAGAATAAGATTTATAATACGTACCTTTCGTTGTTGTTTGGATTTTTCGAACTCTTTTGGAAATTGGTTTTGAATCAACTGTAATCTTAGTTATGCGATATATTCTTGGAGTAATAAAATTGGAATGATGACTAGTGATTACACATTTATATTTATATGGCTGGTTTATCACGCAATCATAACAATATATCTATCTCGATTATCCGATATAGTATACTCGTAATTATATTCAAGTAGGAAAATATAACATTCGTACATAATACTATTCGAACACAAGTCCATTCGAACAGATTTTTTCGAACACTCTTCATTCGAAAACAATACATTTGAACACTCGACTATAGTTCCCATAAATAGGGTGTGGTATTATTGGTATTTAATAACCATTTTCTTGAATTTCAATAATAAGCATTAAGCTTGAATATATGAGTATATTATTGTGGTAGCGTGTTACTATGTTTATCAATTATCAAATAAAAAAAAAATCATTAATATCTAATAATTATATTAAATAATACCTATAGGTACAAATTTGAATAGTCAATATTTTTTATTCAGGAAGGCAGACAATTTAAAAAAATTTTGGCCTATCCTTAAACGAATGTTCAATTTTTCTTGTTGTTAATGCTTTTGAATGTTGTACTGTACGCGTATATGTAATAAAAACTGGATAGACATTAAAAGTTTTTATCCCAATTTAATTCACAACACTGAGTAGCTTACATCTTTAACAGGGTCGCAGAGAAAGTTAGAAAAATGTACCCAGACGTAAATAAATTAACTATTAGGTATCTAATATAAAATAGTACCTATTGATAAAAGTTCCGTACCATGACCAAATATATAAAGAAATTTATCTAATATTCCATTACCTCCAGTACCGATAATTAATGTAATTTATTTAATTAAATAAAATGTATACAGCTTATATTTTATTTTTATTTTTAAATGATATTATATTTTATTATATTTCTATTTATATAAATTTCTTTTTTCTTTTATCACCCATAAAATAGCACATTATTTGAATTTAAGAATATATATACATATTTATGTAAAAACCTAGTTTTTGCACTACGATTTTTAAAGAATTAATTTTGGAAAATATTTTAAATATCTTAAAAGAATATTAGCATTCTATTTTGGCTATTTTAAAAGAATATTTTTTTGGGCTCTAATTATAATATCATTAATATTTATTAAATAGGAGGAATCATGTAGTCGCGAACGATTGGTCGGCCTGCGTCGCTCCTCCTCCAGACAGACACCATGGTTACCGCCACTGCAACGAGACGTCGACGCTACCACCACTACCGCCTACAAACATGTAACAGCGCAACTACCATGTTGTGACCATGTACCATTAATTGTACACCTTCTCCGACAGCAGCAGGTTACTGTGGTTGTGTTTGTGTATACTAATTATTATTATTATTATTATTATTATTACGCGCTCGTGCACGGTGTTTTCTCGCGCAGTACAGCGGCAACAACGGCGACGGTAGTGTGTGCGTATCTCACTCGCGGCGTACAGTGGTGTTTTGACAATACATCGCGTAATGTTATATTATTTTTATCATACGTTCGTACTACAACTATATTGATATTTATTTATAACGTTAGTAAAACAGCTTGTACACGTACGAATCAATCGTTCTGACGTAAGTCCAATTTTAATTTAAACAAAATTCCCATCGACGGTCTTCAAAAGCACCAGAGAGAAAAAGTCGTGATAATCTCTCTGCAGCGGTCCGCATCTCTCGATACTTTAAATATATTGTATAAGAATCAAAAACAGTTTTCGTATATAGTTGCGAGCGTTATTTTTGTGGGCGACGTGCCCGCCATAAATGTCATCGGCATCGTCCAGGTCTATACCATCAGCACCGTCAACGCGATGATTGCTTCGGAGACTCGTAACCATTGCGCCGCCGTAGTCATGGATTTAAGCACGCGGGCCAGTTCCGGCGGTGGAGGCGATTCCAACGACGGCGGTAACCACGGTCGCCGGCGCAACGGTGGCGGTAGACCGGCCAAGTCAGTGTTTTCCATCAGGAGTTTAGTCGGAGAAGACACGGTTCGCAGCCGTTGCGACCGGGATGTCGACGGCAGCGGCGATGACGACGACAGAGACGATCACGGTGAGTGTGTTTAAATTTATATATCTATGTAATATTATTTACCTATAAATTATGTATTGTGTGAAGTATACATAAGATAATAAGATGATATAGTGCGTTTTCAACAGATAGGTACTTACCTAGTGTATATTTAATATTTTAGTTGATATAATAGTGACCATAACTAGGTAATAACATCATATCACGTATAAATATTCATACACCAATTTAATCTCTATAGTTTAACCTGACTAGAGTATGCAAATGGTTATTTATTCATCATTATCTTGTATTAATTAAACTATGGATTTAATCGTGCAATATGTATTTGTATAATTTCACATCATTCCGTCGAATGTCATTTTGCATACCTATTTAACTATTGCCTACCAAAATCCCAATAACTTATTTGGTTCGTAAGAAATTATAATTACGTATATAATATAGTACACTTGTCATAATAGGAGTATATAAATTAAGTTTAATGTCATAGGTTCCAAATGCAACAGTAGTGTCACCTGTTACTTATACATAAATAATATATAGTGTGTGTATATACTATATATATGTGTGTGAATAAATTCGATAAATATTATAGTTAATACGTGCAGCGGTTAACTGATCGAATAACATGATGGTATATTATTTAACTGTGTAAGAAAAAAAATTCTCATAAATAATGGTCATATCTCTTGTATATATATATAAAACGTAAGTAGTGATATGGCAGCAACAGCATTTTCTGCTGCTGCTACAACGATAAGGGCACGAGAGATTGATCGAGAGGGTAAATAAAAAAACTTATAAAAAAAATGTATTGAAAACCTCCAAAAAATATGTTAACAACATCTGCAGCTGCAAATAGACATTGCGCTGTACGTTGCATATTATTAAAAACAAAAATTATTCATACTATTTCGAAAAATGAGTGCGCACGTTATTGTTGATACACAGTTTGTTAGTTGAACCTATACACTATCGAAGTATAAACGTATATGTTATCGTTAAATATTATTATACTTTTTTATTTACAATATTTTTTTATCTTGATTAATCGAGAAAAAAAGTTAAAAATTTTAAGGTTAAATTATTTATATAAAAATTTCAAACAGAAAAAGTTACCTATTACCTAAGTCCTATCTATTGAAATTGTATTTTTTACAAAATAATTGAAAATTATTACATTTTTTTTTGCTTTATGCATGGTTGACTGTATAATTGCACTTTGTACCTGGGTTATTCTGTAGTATCTATTGAAACTATAAAAGCTCTGCTGAAAATGATAGCTGATTGTTATGTGAAGTTATATGTACCTATGACGTCTATGCGTGTGATGTATATTGCCGCGTACGATTTATGATAGTAACTAATTTGTTTATGCAATATGCGTTTTATTTCAATAAATTTGTAATATTTTATTAAAACTTAAAAAGGTATATATAAACATATAAATATAACTAATAATAATAATAATATTGGTACTGTAGTTACGTATGATTATTTTATCGGTTGTTGTATGAAATATTTATAAACAAAACATTATAATTTATTAGAAAACGTGAAATTTATTTTATTTTATTTCATATATGTATATATTTGAAACGAAATCGTTATAGAGATTGTTCTTGTCTAGCTTCATGTTCGTTTAAATAAATTATGTATTATGTATTTAAGTGATATCTGTGTTCAACGACGTCTCGTGACGCGTCGATCGATGAGCGATGATAATCATCAAACGCAAATTAGATTAACTCATAACAGTTTTAAAATAATCTACAATATGTTTATTATTATTTATTAATATTTTTATATTACAAAAAAATCGATTTTTTGTTGATATGATATTAATTATTTTAACATAATCCAAATACTATGGATACAATTTCCATAATTTTTGAAATCATTATAGTTTTCATTATTTTCTAAAACTCTGTTTCGAAGTTGTAAACGTCCCCAGTAATAGGTACTTTCGTTTTCCCTGAAATAGAGATTTGTCAATTTTTACTATTAATCCAGGACATCCAATTTTACAGTCTACCACCTTATGGGAGTAGGTACTATAGCGTACTACGACTGATTCAAGTATTTGTCTAACTGGAATAAGATTACTCCAGTATCAAATCGATACAGTCAGCGAAAGATTACTGTGATATATAGTATATTATATTGAGATCAATACACGGGAAAAAATTGTTGTCAGTGCGCAATGATCGATGAATTTGGCAGCTTTTTTTTTAGTAAATTGTAAAGTCATTATTACTTTTATTGTTCCATCTGAGTCCCGTTTATCCCCTTTTCTTGTTGTTTCTTATAAATTTCCTCCTTAAACAATAACATATTTTTTTATGTCCGTACACTCATATTACTTATTTCGTTATTATTCGGTAATCACCCTTTAATTTTCAAATTATTTGTATATTTAATTTCGTCTTTTATTATATTTCTGTATAAAAAACCCATTGTTAATAACATTATTTAAGGAACGTTACAACGAAAATTGAAAATATTTACAGAAAAAAATAACACACTAACAAAGAGTGAGCAACTATTTATTGTAATTTGTAATAATGTAACTTTTGAACTATGGTATATTTATGTATAATCGATTTGGTCGATGATTAATGATTATATTGTGTTAAAGCAATATGTTCTTAAAACTTATAAATAAAAATCATATAAAAATATATTTTTAAAAACATATTTTGGTCGAATATCGCTTTCATGTAGTTGCTATATCACTCACACTAAGTAGATCACATGTAAAAATGGTACCATATTTAATAGAAATTACTTTTAAAAAGTCTTAAATTATCAGTAAGTAGAAATTAAGTAAGCAAAATTATGGCTTCAGAGTGTTTTTACATATATAGCTAAATAGCTTCGTATTTATCCGTATAATTAGAAGTTTATTTGTTTTTATTACAATAAAACAAGGTTTCGTATTCATGTGTGTTCAAGTATTATAAAATTGTATAGTATTATTCATTTATTTTGAAGCAAAATTAACAACAGTATCTTATTAAGTACTTGCATTCATAATGGTTTTTATCCATTACGAAAATACGACACTATACCCGCCACTTGGAAAAACACACTTTCTAGTTTCTGATATACCTATACCGACTGATCAGAATTTTATGAGCGTGTTCTGTAGATACTTTGGGAATGATATTTAATATGTGAACATTTCACAAAATTGTATATTAGTGTATGTTTGTATTTATATTTTAAGCACTTATAGCAGATAGTTATAAGTCAAGTTGATTATAACTTATAAATATAGTTAATAAATACATATTAAATAGATGATGTATTGTATAATACATATATTTTGTAATAGCTATCTAGGGAATACATAGATAAAGAAGTAATATTTAATTTGTTCACCGATAATATAGTGTTTAATTTATTGAAAATTTGTTAATAATACTTTTCAAACAAAATAATATTACAATAAAAAAAAAAAAAAATGTATAGAATATTATACTTACATATTATATTATTATACCAGACACAATAGACAAAATTTTAATATTGTGATAGAGTTACTATTTATTATAGTGTCCTGTGCGATTTTTTTTTTTTTTTGGAAAAGGAAGACTTAAACTCCTGCACCTGTACGCGATACAATAATATAAGTATAATGGCATCCCTTAGGATTAATCTGATACAACAAAAGTTGTTTTAGTAGATTTTTGTGTCTTAGAGAGTATTGTGTCCAGATGAAAAAAGTATGTTTAGGTACAGAAATTGAAAGTCAATAAATTAAAATCGATAAATTTGCCCATTACAATATTTTATACATTACATAAATTTAACATAATAATTAATAATAAAAGTTGTTTTATCATACTTATAATTAAATAATTATATAATATATTTATATTTAGCTAATATAAATTAGGTATAAGTAAAAAAAAAATTCTATATTGAGCAAAAATTTAAATAAAACTATTTTTAAAATTTGACTTGTTTTCTGGATACAAATTGTTTATCCCTCTTTTATTTTATAAACATAACAGGTACACAAATCGTTATCTGCGACTTGTGAGAGCAATGATTCATCTCAAAGGTTATTTTTTTGTGAAAAAGAAATAAAATCTTCGTTTATCTTTTACTTATATAAAAATTGTAAATAAGAATTTATTTTCTAAATTAATGAAATCTCATGTAAATTAATTTTACCTACTGCCTATCTTTTTTTTTTTTTTTTTAATTTGAATTATATGTAAAATAACATTTAATTAGGTATTTAGTACCCACACTTAAATATCAGGAAGTAATTTCATTTGCTTACTTTTTTTGTAAAATTATTAATATTATTTGATTTTTCGATAAATTTGTTAGCATAATGCTCGATCGTTTACGAGCTATTATACAATCATTATTATTAAATATGGTACATTATACAATCGTTTAGTTATTTCAAACATAATTCCACCTATAATGAAATACAATTAAATAGTCCATTTAGTTGCAAAAACGTGGTTCATTCTATTTTTTGTAATTTTTAAGAATACCTTCGTATAAACATTAGCTTCAATAGGGGACTTAAGGGGGACTTGACCGAGATTAAGGAGCTCTTCTCACAAATCTATTCTTCATCAAATACTAAAGAAATATGCTATTTTATTCCTATCATTTTGAAACAAAATCTAACATAAATTATTAAAAAAAATACCTATTTAAAATTATGTTTTTGCGTTAAAATATTTATCTGATATAGAAAGATATAAACATTTTTTGAAATTCGTTAAATAAATCACTAGTATTAAAAGATCATTTAAGGAATTTAGAGAGTTTCGGAGGCCATCAAAATTTAGTGTTAATCTAAGTAAAGTAAAATAAAAAGCAAAGAATTAAATAAAAATTGATAAAAACTTTGCCAAAAAAAAATTTCTTGTCGGGGCCAAATAAAGTTCATTTTTGCGTACATTCTATATCTATATTATATATCGTATACATTATAATAGTATAATACAACAGTTTTACAGTTTATACAGCATTATCATTTTATTCAT